GTTAAAGCAATGAAAGAAGCTGTTAATAGTGTTATGGCCACATACTAAGACTACCAGTAAAAACGATGTACATAAATCTTTAAAAAAAACTGAAATTCTGGTATGAATTTTGTATAAATACACATGTAATGTATATGTACATTAGATAGAGAAATCGTGTTAAGAGTTTTGTACCATTATAGATGGTGGTAAACAGTTAGTGTTCTACATGTGTTTGTAACCATTTATTAAATTCATCTGATATTGATTGGAATCAAAGAAAAGACCAGACATGTGTACATTTACATACATCCTTGTTGATTGCCAATAAGCCTCCCTAGATTAAATAGTGACACAGATTGTTAGTCCTTAAACAGGGCTGTTTCAGTGAACTGTTTCTGTACTAACACATGTAACCACAGCTGTAGTGATAACAGTTTCATACATATCTTTGTTACTAAAGTGAAAATAATCTTTAAAATATTTGGCAGAATACAATAAGAAAAAATTATCAAAATATTGTGTTTCAATGCTCTTCTGTTAAAAAAAGAATGCCAAACTAGATGTTCAAAGGGGGAAAAATTGGAAATCCCTACTACAAATTATTAAATACCACTGCTACAGGCAAGCAAATGAAGGTTAAGGAATTTATAATTACTGCAACAGATATCTCCCCCCACCCCCCACCCACTAGTGCTGCAAACAAATAACATCATTTCAGATTTGACTTCCAGAAGATGAGAATTTCTGCAGATGTAACTTTCTGGTGACTCTCTGCAGATGTTCTTGTTGGTGTGACTGTTATCTGTCCTGTTATACATTGAGGCAGATTTCCACTAGACATGACTTCCTGTTGGTGTGACTGTTATCTGTCCTGTTATACAATGAGACAGACTTCCTATAGACCGGACTTCCTGTTGGTGTGAATGTTATCTGTCCTGTTTTACACTGCGGTAGACTTCCTATAGGCATGACTTCCTGTTGGTGTGAATGTTATCTGGCCTGTTTTACACTGGGGTAGACTTCCTATAGGCATGACTTCCTGTTGGTGTGACTGTTATCTGTCCTGTTATACAATGAGACAGACTTCCTATAGACCGGACTTCCTGTTGGTGTGACTGTTATCTGTCCTGTTTTACACTGCGGTAGACTTCCTATAGGCATGACTTCCTGTTGGTGTGACTGTTATCTGTCCTGTTATACAATGAGACAGACTTCCTATAGACCGGACTTTCTGTTGGTGTGACTGTTATCTGTCCTGTTTTACACTGCAGTAGACTTCCTATAGGCATGACTTTCTGTTGGTGTGACTGTTATCTGTCCTGTTTTACACTGGGGTAGACTTCCTATAGGCATGACTTCCTGTTTGTGTGACTGTTGTCTGTCCTGTTTTACACTGGGGTAGACTTCCTATAGGCATGACTTCCTGTTGGTGTGACTGTTGTCTGTCCTGTTATACACCGAGGCAGATTTCCTATAGACCTGACTTCCTGTTAGTTGGAATGTTCTATGTCCTGTTATACAGTGAACCAGACATCCTATAGGCATGACTTCCCGTTGTTGTGGATGTTATATGTCCTGTTATACAATGAGGTAGACTTCCTGTAAACATTACTTTATGTTGGTGTGCCTTTCTCTCTACAGTTGACTTTCTGTAGTTGTAACTTCCCGTAGTTGTGGATGTTATATGTCCTGTTATACAATGAGGTAGACTTCCTGTAAACATTACTTTCTGTTGGTGTGCCTTTCTATCTACAGTTGTGACTTTTTGTAGGTGTAACTTATAACTGATGTGACTTTCTGTAGTTGTGACTTCCTGTTGATGTGAATTTCTGTAGGTGTGACTTCCTGTTGATGTGAATTTCTGTAGGTGTGACTTCCTGTTGATGTGAATTTCTGTATGTGTGACTTCCTGTTGATGTGAATTTCTGTAGGTTTGACTTCCTGTTGATGTGAATTTCAGTAGGTGTGACTTCCTGTTGGTGTGACTTTCTGTAGGTGTGAATTTCTGTAGGTGTGAGTTTCTGTAGTTGTGACTTCCTGTTGATGTGAATTTCTGTAGGTTTGACTTCCTGTTGATGTGACTTTCTGTAGGTGTGAGTTCCTGCTGATGTGACTTTCTGTAGTTGTGACTTTCTGTTAGTGTGACTTCCTGTAGGTGTGACTTCCTGTAGGTGTGACTTTCTGTAGGTGTGACTTCCTGTTGATGTGAATTTCTGTAAGTTTGACATCCTACTAAAGCGACTTCCTGTGATGCCCTGTTGGTGTGACCCAAGCAGGGCTATGTTAATATATTATGATCTTCTGCTTGATCTCATTAACAAGTCTATGTTATATGACTATTATGATTGTCTTATAAACTGAATGCAAAGACGGATGTGGTAATTTCACAATATATGTACATTTTATACACAGATGAACTTCAGAAAGTCCAGTAGTGACTTTGTATCTATACAAATGTAGAAATAGGGACATTTTTTAGCTAGCTTTGTCATTGAATGTACCACTGAAAGGAAGAGTAACACATGTAGAAACAGTTGTGTATGAGAACCCAATGGTTTGTTTATCACATATATCACCAGTGGTGTCCCTGTAAGTGGTGTTCCTGATCCATTGTTGTACCACAACATTTTCAGCCAGACATGTACGTATGTTACAGCACACAGATTACACTATCTATATAGGGCAATTATCATTCTATAGGAACAGTGAAATACTTCTTTGAACTCTCATTTGAGATAATTGATCAGGTAAATAATACACTTGTGATAACCTAAACAACTAAAGTGAAAATGTAACAGTGTGTGTGCCATTAAATAAAGGCACATTTCTGAGCATGCAATTTCTTTATAAGGAATTCATATTAAAATATAAGTATATTCCTCCACTGAATCATAGGAGAATGATTAATTGATAAAGAGGCGAGATTATAAATCAAATAAATAAATTATAAATGTATTTATACCTGTACCATATCTAATGATTTAATATGTCACAGACCATGGTCTAATACATCATGCTTCAGTGAAAAAGTCTGTATATCTATTGCAAAGGAATAACTGGCAGTTTATACAGATAAAACTATTCTTCCACAGTAACCATGTTCCTTATCACTCACTATAATAACTATCTAATGTCTAGTTTCGAGTCACATATGTTAAAAGCTTTTTGGAAAAGCTGATTGATTTTATGGAAGAGGTCTCAGCTGGACCAAGACTCTCTTGTCAATATTGAGTTCATTCATTCCATAATCAATTAACATCCATATGAAGTAACTGAACACAAAAATAGCAAATACACACAAGACTAATGGTCAGAAGTATCACCAAAGAATCCACCCCTCCTCCACTCCCAAAAGATGGATTTAAAAAAAAACACACAAAAAAAACAAACAAGAAAAAAAAGGAGAAAAATTATCAGAATTTTCAGTGTTTTAGTTGTCAATATTAAAATTTTTATTTTAATTTTTGTAAATCCTTAGTGATTTTAGGATAAGTGGAAGGAAATTAATAGTCAAGTGGTCTCTATCAAATTTACTTCCTACACTTTGAATCTGTATAGAGTCCCTCAACCTTAATCATCCATATACATACTAAGGTATTGAGTATGAATTTCTTGTACCTTTATCAAGGAAAGTAATAACAGTTTCATGATTGCCATATATTTGGTTATCATTACTTAAAGTTGACTTGTTAATTCAGAAAGTCTTATTCAAATCTGAATAAACATCCTAATAAAACCATGATGTATGCTGAAACTATCATTGTAACAATACCTCAAGAATGAAGGTGGTGCCAACAGAAGAATACCATGGTAATGCCATAAATAGCTTCATAACACCTGTAAAGGCATGAGACCTGTCTCTAGCTGGATGTGAATTATACATTTTATCAAATAATAATTCTATATTAATCCACGATAAGTTGCATGATTTTGTTTGTGTATGTGTAATGTATGGTACGTTACAAATGTCAAGAGCAAGAAACAAATTTTACACCATGTGACCAGACACAGTCTCTGGCTTGATAACCTTTGGTTCAAATAACCCAGTTTAATAAGCATACTGGGCATCCAGTGTGATAATCCATGGGCTCTGACCAAAGAAGCATGCTCCCTCAATTGAGCAGTGGATACTGAATTAGCATCATATAAATGTCACATCCATCCACTCCTTTATCAATGGAACAAATAGTGTATGATACACTGATGTAATTATTTTTATCAGAACCCTTCTTTTGGAAAGAAACTATCCTTCTGAAAAGAAGGTGTGCTTCCACAGTGAGATTTAACATAGATAGGAAAGCAAATAGGCCAACCAATGGTCTCTACCTGTTCAAAGGTTCATATACACCAGCAACTTGGGTTACATAAACAATGCAATATTTGAGATTGGCACGCCTCAATGGGGAGTGTTTACATGTTTTAAATGCCTGTATCAATTAACAAATTTTATTATTACTAATGACATGAAAACAAGGAACCTGTGACAGTTTTATCTACAATCTATGTAAATATTAGTCAGCTTTACTATTCAAGAACATCATGAAAACTAATGACACATGTTTAACTATACTGCCATATGTATATGTTAAATAACGTTTATATATTACCCGACAGTTGTTATTCCTTCAGCTGTTTACTGAAGCAGAGCAAAGTTGTTCTCCAGTACCCAACACAGACACAGGTCACAGGAATGAATCATAGCTCTGCCTCTCTGTGACCTATATAAACACTGCACGGCAACTGTACAAGTCTTCCTCAGTTTCCCTTACTATATTAGCAGAATGAAATTATAGTTTTACATGTGTAGAAGCGCCTGTGCATGTTTAATTGTGTAAATCGTGTGTGACCTACATTACAATGTGATGTCATGAAGTGGCTAAGTTTGACAGTTCGTTCCGAGCCCGTGTGTACTGGGCACACCCCGGTAGTAGTGTTGATGCTTATTGAGTCTCGACACCCATAACAATCGGTGCAACTAATATTTCTAATACAATTTTGTATAAGTGAGTTGTACTTACCACCATGCATGTATTTTCCTGTCACATCCTTGGGTTTATTTACAAATACAATAGTGCGTTTTCGGGAAGTTAGCATAAAATGGCGATATTGAGATCTCGTGAAATTCCATTCCCGACGAGAGCAAAATTATTAATGATAAGGGAATAATGTGAATCTAAATTTATATCAAATGCAAAATTTTTCTTTTAAATTGATACCAATATTAACTGAATGATACATATATTATAAATCAGCATAAAAAATATAAATTTCCACATTTGCCCGCAGTAATCTTAACTGCGGGACTCGTCGATGTCTGCCGAACGTCGCAATGCTTGCTTTGCAAGACTACGCGAGTGATTCGTCCGGTTCTGAAGAAGAATCAAAGGAAACGATCGAGGAGTTGACCGCTCATTTGAAACCAGTACAGAGTGGAAAGTCACTTGTATCAACTCAAAAGTTAAATGCAGCTCCTTTAGTAATAACAAAGGTTGTTAATTTTCACCATCAACCTTCTCCTTTCCTAATTGAACCCGCTGGTTTGTTCCTTGGCATGTTGCTTGAAACTTAAATAGACACCACCATGAAATAATTTGAGACAGGCTAGGTCTGAAAAAGAGTGCAGCGTTTGAATAGATACTTGTCCTTATTTTGTCATCTGCTCACTCTCGTGTATTTCTTTTCGTTTTTATTAAGTAGGCTACTTAAGCTATTGTTGTTTAAACAATCTGTCTGGTCCATACACCACATGGGAGCTAACCTCAGTAATCTGGTTGGTTGTTACGACTGAGTATTTAGGTAATGAGCATTTTCTTTTCTTTTGTTTTGTCTTTTAGGAAGATGTTGGTGTTCAGCGTCACTTGGACATCACGACAAAAGAGGTGAAATACAACCCCAAGTTTGAGGAAATGTTTGCACCTCAGGTAAAAACTGAGAGAGAAAGAGTGAATGTGTATTTGGTGTCAGAGGTGAAGAGAAACCTCTCTGTATTTGGCAGAATCAGACAAAATGTTAAGGGATATGTAATGATGATATAGAGCTATTTGTTATTGTTCGTTTGTAAATTCCTATTTGGTACTCACTATCTGTAAATCTCTAACGATTCTGGAACTTACCTGCTGCCAACAAATATCACCTTTATGCATGCTTCTAGCAACAATATTTGTCAATAATTAAGTGTTTCAGTGACATTGAACAATAATCAGTACTATGTTTGACTTGTATCTAAAGCACATGAATACTGAGTGAGTTATTGACATGGCATGTTGGTTGTTTATGAATGTCCCAAGATAAATAGTTGTTTGTTAACATATCAGAGAAACATTAAAAAATTGTTTGACATTTCATCTGACAGGTTGGGCCCTCAAATCCATTTAAGACCCAGCAGATGCTTGCTAAAAAAAACATGATTTCGGGGTATGCAGAGAATGCACATTTCAATCAGTTTCAGTTCGAAAATCAGCGTAGAACATTTACAAGTTATGGTAAGTGTTAGTAGCTCTCTTATAGTCAACTTTGTTTGTTTTATTTATGTAAGTGTCAAATATTCACATATTGTAACCTAGCTGTTTTGTATTTATATACTTTGTAGGAAAAGATTGGTAGTAAGACAATTCATGTTACCAATATTATTTGATATCAAATTGACAAAAGAGAGATTTTAACCTAACTACCATAAATGTGAAATGTTTTCTTGGCTATGGACTTTGTTCTGTATAAATAAATCTGTTAGGAGAAGTTTCAAAAGCAACTTGAAGATAATGATCATACATGTTTTATGAACTTATGAAAGGTTATGCAGTGGACCCTTCAGTAGATGTACAGGTGTCATCAGAACCTCCAATCGTAGGAGACAGAGTGGCTGCAGATGACAGCAAAGGTAAGCATCTTCTCTAGATATATTAAGCTGTATTTAAATTCCTGCAGGCTGTTTCTGGCTGAAGTAATACATTGTGAATGGGAAACTTTTTCTGTGGTGAATTTTCACCTTTTTGTCACTAGAAGACATTAAAACGTGGGCTAAAATTTTGTCTTCAAGCTGAAGTATATCTTCTTATATATTTTGGAGAGAAGTTGAAAACAAACAAATATAATTCTCAGCTTGGGTAAATGTTTATTTGTATATAGTAAGAATTTTATCCTCAACTCAAAATTTATTGAAAATTGAATTGATATTTTAAAATGAGTACAATGAAAGCAAAGAGACAGACTCTTTGTATTACAGTGCTATATAGATTATCTTATGATTGTTGTTTTAGGACTTACAGTTTTTGAAGCTATGCCCAAACGTCCAGAGGACAAGAGGAAGCGCCTGAGAAACTCGGATGCAGGAGATGTAGAGGGATACCTGGGACCCTGGGGCAAGTTTGTGGATGAGAAAACCGTGATGAAGCCAAGTGAGGTAAATCTAACAAAGCCCAGCATTCTCTTGTGTAACTGTATCAGGTACTTGTATCAGAAAAATCCTATTGTCCCAGGTGTAACACAGTTCTTTGTAATTGTAGTACTGTTTCCCTGTAACTGTAACACTATTCCTCAATAAGTATAAGTTATGTAATGATATATTGACTTATCAATGTTTTGTGATTGCTTTGTTCTCAATAGCAATAGGTCAATAACATATTTTTAATTCGATAACTTTCACAATAGTTTGTTCCCCTATGAATTTTATAGAATACCTCTAGGTGTAACACTGTTCCCCTATGTTATAGTATACCTCTAGGTGTAACACTGTTCCCCTATGTTATAGTGTACCTCCAGGTGTAACACTGTTCCCCTATGAGTGTTATAGTGTACCTCCAGGTGTAACACTGTTCCCCTATGTTATAGTATACCTCTAGGTGTAACACTGTTCCCCTATGTTATAGTGTACCTCCAGGTGTAACACTGTTCCCCTATGAGTGTTATAGTGTACCTCCAGGTGTAACACTGTTCCCCTATGTTATAGTATACCTCTAGGTGTAACACTGTTCCCCTATGTTATAGTGTTCCTCCAGGTGTAACACTGTTCCCCTATGAGTGTTATAGTGTACCTCCAGGTGTAACACTGTTCCCCTATGAGTGTTATAGTATACCTCTAGGTGTAACACTGTTCCCCTATGAGTGTTATAGTGTACCTCCAGGTGTAACACTGTTCCCCTATGAGTGTTAGAGTGTACCTCTAGGTGTAACACTGTTCCCCTGTGAGTGTTCTAGTATACCTCTAGGTGTAACACTGTTCCCCTATGTTACAGTATACCTCTAGGTGTAACACTGTTCCTCTATGTTATAGTATACCTCTAGGTGTAACACTGTTCCTCTGTGTTATAGTATACCTCTAGTTGTAACATTGTTCCTTTATGTTACAGTATACTTCTAGGTGTAACACTGTTCCCCTATGAGTGTTATAGTATACCTCTAGGTGTAACACTGTTCCTCTGTGTTATAGTATACCTCTAGGTGTAACACTGTTCCTCTGTGAGTGTTATAGTATACCTCTAGGTGTAACACTGTTCCTCTGTGTTATAGTATACCTCTAGGTGTAACACTGTTCCTCTGTGTTATAGTATATCTCTCGGTGTAACACTGTTCCCTGTGTTATATTATACTTCTAGGTGTAACACTGTTCCCCTGTGAGTGTTATAGTATACCTCAAGGTGTAACACTGTTCCCCTGTGAGTGTTATAGTGTACCTCTAGGTGTAACACTGTTCCCCTGTGAGTGTTATAGTATACCTCTAGGTGTAACACTGTTCCCCTGTGAGTGTTATAGTATACCTCTAGGTGTAACACTGTTCCCCTATGTTACAGTATACCTTTAGGTGTAACACTGTTCCCCTATGTTATAGTATACCTCTAGGTGTAACACTGTTCCCCTGTGTTATAGTATACCTCTAGGTGTAACACTGTTCCCCTATGTTATAGTATACCTCTAGGTGTAACACTGTTCCCCTATGTTATAGTATACTTCTAGGTGTAACACTGAACCACTATTCCTGTGTAAGTATTACACTGTTCCCCTATGTGATGTACTCACATACTCACACTTTCTGTGTAAGTGAAATATTTCCCCCTTTATATTTGACACTGTTCCCCTGTAGTTTTATTTTCTGTTATAAACTCTGTCAATCTTCACAAACAGGATGAGCAAAAGGAGCTGGATGAGATACTGGCCAAGAGAAGTAAAACTAACAAACAGACAGAAGAGAAAACAGCAGAGGAGAAAACTACACTACATAGTAAGATCAAACATTCACAGTTAAGGATACATACAACACAGTAAAACTGTCCAGGTCTCTCCCCTTACAGTTAAGGATACCCACAACACAGTAAAACAGTCCAGTTCTGTCCCCTTACAGTTAAGGATACCCACAACACAGTAAAACAGTCCAGTTCTCTCCCCTTACATTTAAGGATACCCACAACACAGTAAAACAGTCCAGTTCTCTCCGCTTACATTTAAGGATACCCACAACATAGTAAAACTGTCCAGTTCTCTCCCCTTACATTTAAGGATACCCACAACACAGTAAAAATGTCCAGTTCTCTCCCCTTACAGTCAAGGATACCCACAACACAGTAAAACAGTCCAGTTATCTCCCCTTACATTTAAGGATACCCACAACACAATAAAACAGTCCAGTTCTCTCCCCTTACAGTTAAGGATACCCACAACACAGTAAAACTGTCCAGTTCTGTCCCCTTACAGTTAAGGATACCCACAACACAATAAAACTGTCCAGTTCTGTCCCCTTACATTTAAGGATACCCACAACACAGTAAAACTGTCCAGTTTTGTCCCCTTACAGTTAAGGATACCCACAACACAGTAAAACTGTCCAGTTCTGTCCCCTTACAGATAAGGATACCCACAACACAGTAAAACTGTCCAGTTCTCTCCCCTTACAGTTAAGGGTACCACAACACAGTAAAACTGTCCAGTTCTCTCCCCTTACAGTTAAGGGTACCCACAACACAGTAAAACTGTCCAGTTCTCTCCCCTTACAGTTAAGGATACCCACAACATAGTAAAACTGTTCAGTTCTCTCCCCTTACAGTTAAGGATATCCACAACATAGTAAAACTGTCCAGGTCTCAAAATTCTCCACCTCACAGTTATGGATGATAATGTGACAATAAAGCTGTCCTGTTTTCTCCACAGTTAAGAATGCCCATGATACAATAAATCTGTTTTTCCCCTGTCACAGTTAAGGATGCCTACGACTACCAGGGCCGGTCCTATCTACATATCCCACAGGATGTGGGTGTCAACCTCAAGTCAGAGGAGCCTCCTGAGAAATGTTTCCTTCCCAAAAAACACATCCATACTTGGACAGGCCACACCAAAGGACTGTCTGCCATTCGCTGGTTTCCTGTGTCTGCTCACCTTCTGCTGTCCTGCAGTATGGATTGTAAAATAAAGGTAAACTTTTCTTTATTAGCCAACCATCTAATAGATGGTGGGTTATTCAAATCACCCTGCATCCATGGTCCGTCGTCCGTCCGTCCGTAAACAATTCTTGTTACCGCTATTTCTGGAAAAGTATTGGATGGATCTTTCTCAAATTTCATATGCAGGTTTCCCTTGGTCCCTAGTTGTGCATTGTACCTTTTTTGAACTGATTCGCATTCAAGATGGCCGACAGGTGGCCATCTTGGATTTTGGAAGTAAAAGTTTGTTACCGCTATTTCTAGAAAAGTACTGGGTGGATCTTTCTCAAATTTCATATGCAGTTTCCCCTTGGTCCCTAGTTGTGCATTGTACCTTTTTTGGACTGATTCGAATTCAAGATGGCCAACAGGTGGCCATCTTGGATTTTGGAAGTAAAAGATTGTTACCGCTATTTCTGAGAAAGTACTGGATGGATCTTCCTCAAATTTCATATGCAGTTTCCCCTTAGTCCCTAGTTGTGCATTGTACCTTTTTTTGACTGATTCGAATTCAAGATGGCAGACAGGTGGCCATCTTGGATTTTGGAAGTAAAAGTTTGTTACAGCTGTTTCTTGGAAAGTATTAATGGATCTTTCTCAAATTTCATATGCAGTTTCCCCTTGGTCCCTAGTTGTGCATTGTACCTTTTTTTGACTGATTCGAATTCAAGATGGCAGACAGGTCCCTAGTTGTGCATTGTACCTTTTTTTGGACTGATTTGAAATCAAGGTGGCCCACAGGCAGCCATCTTGGATGTCGACAGTAATACAGCACAAGCATATTGTCCATTATCCACCTGTAACTGACTGCTATCTAATAATACTTTGGGATCTTTTTCAAATGATATTTGCTAATAGGTGCTTAATAAAAATATCTTGTGCCATCATTGAGTACATTCAATGAAGACCAGTTCATGAACATTTACAACACCTGTAACAAACAAAAAAAAATAAACAAATCTTCAAGAACTGAAAACAGATCCTCAAATGGTGGGCACCAAGATCCCTCTGGGATCTCTTGTTTAAAATTATATATTTTATCATGAATGTATATTATATGTGTATCTAAAGTTCAAATTCAGTGTTGTCAAGATATTAAGAGAATATTTTCATAATACTGTTTAATTTATCTGTGAAACATGTATCAGGATGTACGTAGAATACTTTGTATTCTGCTTTATAGTAATTAATGATCTTATTTGTTGTGTAGATCTGGGAGGTGTACAACGAGCGACGTTGTATTCGGACGTACACCGGACACAAACAGGCAGTCAGGGATATCACATTTAACAATGAGGGAACAGAGTTTCTTAGTTGTGGCTATGACAGATACTGTAAACTATGGGACACAGAAACAGGTCAGTCTCTTATTTACAGAAAAATCTGAGACTTTGAAATAGGTCAGTCAGAAAATTCTCACACTCGGAAACAGGTCTGTAACATGTGTAGAAAAATGGGAAACATTGAAACAGGCTTGTTCTCCAGTCTGAAGAACATAGATGTTGCATATGGACATACTTGTTCCTATCCTTTAGGTAAGAGATGTAAGAGAGGTGTTTATGAATTCACCGCTGTTTATGAATATATTCACCGCTGTTTATGAATATATTCACTGCTGTTTATGAAGTTGCTATACTTATTACATTACAACACAAAGACTTTGTTCAAAAAATGTTTGTGTTTGATTAAGATATAGCAATTAAGCAAATTTATTGAGAGTAAATATTGATTTTGTTGGTAATGAAAATGTTATTGACTTAATTTGTAGGTGAGTGTAAGTCACGATTTTCCAGCAGAAAAGTTCCCTACTGTGTGAAGTTCCACCCTGAGCCTGATAAACAACACCTGTTTGTGGCAGGAACCTCCGATAAAAAGATAGTTTGTGTAAGTTTTTCTGAAGTATTAACTTATCTCTTCAGTTTACCTTTGAGATAGTTTGTGTGAGTGCTGAGTCTCACCAGCTTACCTGTTACACAGTTGTTGTAAGTCCACAAGACTGGAATAGGTTTCAATGTTGTCAGTTTCACTTATCTGATGCTTGAGTGAATAGACTAAACTTTATCCTCTTTGTCACTTGTGGTTCTAGTTACTGAGACTAAACTTTATCCTCTTTGTCACTTGTGGTTCTAGTTACTGAGACTAAACTTAATACTCTTTGTCACTTGTGGTTCTAGTTACTGAGACTAAACTTCATACTCTTTGTCACTTGTGGTTCTAGTTACTGAGACTAAACTTTATAATCTTTGTCACTTGTGGTTCTAGTTACTGAGACTAAACTTTATAATCTTTGTCATTTGTGGTTCTAGTTACTGAGACTAAACTTCATCCTCTTTGTCACTTGTGGTTCTAGTTACTGAGACTAAACTTTATAATCTTTGTCACTTGTGGTTCTAGTTACTGAGACTAAACTTAATACTCTTTGTCACTTGTGGTTCTAGTTACTGAGACTAAACTTTATATTCTTTGTCACTTGTGGTTCTAGTTACTGAGACTAAACTTCATTCTCTTTGTCACTTGTGGTTCTAGTTACTGAGACTAAACTTTATAATCTTTGTCACTTGTGGTTCTAGTTACTGAGATTAAACTTCATCCTCTTTGTCACTTGTGGTTCTAGTTACTGAGACTAAACTTTATAATCTTTGTCACTTGTGGTTCTAGTTACTGAGACTAAACTTTATAATCTTTGTCACTTGTGGTTCTAGTTACTGAGACTAAACTTAATACTCTTTGTCACTTGTGGTTCTAGTTACTGAGACTAAACTTTATCCTCTTTGTCACTTGTGGTTCTAGTTACTGAGACTAAACTTCATCCTCTTTGTCACTTGTGGTTCTAGTTACTGAGACTAAACTTCATCCTCTTTGTCACTTGTGGTTCTAGTTACTGAGACTAAACTTTATAATCTTTGTCACTTGTGGTTCTAGTTACTGAGACTAAACTTCATCCTCTTTGTCACTTGTGGTTCTAGTTACTGAGACTAAACTTTATAATCTTTGTCACTTGTGGTTCTAGTTACTGAGACTAAACTTCATCCTCTTTGTCACTTGTGGTTCTAGTTACTGAGACTAAACTTTATAATCTTTGTCACTTGTGGTTCTAGTTACTGAGACTAAACTTTATAATCTTTGTCACTTGTGGTTCTAGTTACTGAGACTAAACTTAATACTCTATGTCACTTGTGGTTCTAGTTACTGAGACTAAACTTCATCCTCTTTGTCACTTGTGGTTCTAGTTACTGAGACTAAACTTCATCCTCTTTGTCACTTGTGGTTCTAGTTACTGAGACTAAACTTAATACTCTATGTCACTTGTGGTTCTAGTTACTGAGACTAAACTTAATACTCTTTGTCACTGGTGGTTCTAGTTACTCAGACTAAACTTCATCCTCTTTGTCACTTGTGGTTCTAGTTACTGAGACTAAACTTAATACTCTTTGTTACTTGTGGTTCTAGTTACTGAGACTAAACTTCATCCTCTTTGTCACTTGTGGTTCTAGTTACTGAGACTAAACTTAATACTCTTTGTCACTTGTGGTTCTAGTTACTGAGACTAAACTTCATCCTCTTTGTCACTTGTGGTTCTAGTTACTGAGACTAAACTTAATACTCTTTGTTACTTGTGGTTCTAGTTACTGAGACTAAACTTTATAATCTTTGTCACTTGTGGTTCTAGTTACTGAGACTAAACTTTATCTTGTCACTTTTCAGTGGGACATTCGTTCTGGAGAGATTGTCCAGGAGTATGACAGACATCTTGGTGCCGTCAACACTATTACATTTGTTGATCAGAACCGACGCTTTGTCAGCTCCTCAGATGACAAGAGTTTACGAGTCTGGGAATGGTACGTGTTTTATAGATAGTACCTGTCTACATAGTAATACATCACAGAGATCAGATTTATGCTGTGTATGTGTTACTGATAGTGTCTTTACACAAAGTAGCATGTCACAGAGATCAGATTTATGTTGTGTATGTGTTACTGATAGTATCTTTACACAAAGTAACACGTCACAGAGATCAGATTTACTTTGTGTACGTGTGTTACTGATAGTGTCTTTACACAAAGTAACACGTCACAGAGATCAGATTTACTTTGTGTACGTGTGTTACTGATAGTGTCTTTACACAAAGTAACACGTCACAGAGATCAGATTTACTTTGTGTATGTGTGTTACTGATAGTGTCTTTACACAAAGTAACATGTCACAGAGATCAGATTTACTTTGTGTACGTGTGTTACTGATAGTGTCTTTACACAAAGTAACATGTCACAGAGATCAGATTTACTTTGTGTACGTGTGTTACTGATAGTGTCTTTACACAAAGTAACATGTCACAGAGATCAGATTTACTTTGTGTATGTGTGTTACTGATAGTGTCTTTACACAAAGTAACATGTCACAGAGATCAGATTTACTTTGTGTATGTGTGTTACTGATAGTGTCTTTACACAAAGTAACATGTCACAGAGATCAGATTTACTTTGTGTATGTGTGTTACTGATAGTGTCTTTACACAAAGTAACATGTCACAGAGATCAGATTTACTTTGTGTATGTGTGTTACTGATAGTGTCTTTACACAAAGTAACATGTCACAGAGATCAGATTTACTTTGTGTATGTGTGTTACTGATAGTGTCTTTACACAAAGTAACATGTCACAGAGATCAGATTTACTTTTTGTACGTGTGTTACTGATAGTGTCTTTACACAAAGTAACATGTCACAGAGATCATTTATCATTTTAACTTTAACTGTTGAAGAATGATGGTTTGACTTAGCTATGTTTCTAGGAACAGAGACATTGTACATCGAAGATTGATACATGTCTCATAGCATAGCATGACAGTAATGGAGAAGTAATTAATAAATAGAAATTTTTGATAATTCTATACACTGAAGATATCCCTTTTTTTAAATAAACAGTTATAAATAGGAATATAAAACAAAAAAATGTAATCTGAAAAGGGTGGATAGATATACCGGAAGAGTAACCAAGTTCTGTCAACAATATTTTAGAATAAAATAAATTTATTCATGAGCAATCTACATTGATATATCATCGATAGTACTTAAGTGAATTATGAAAAGGTGAATACTGCGATAACGTCACTGTAGCATTGTAGAGTGTAACCTAGAAATAAAATGAAATAAAAATTGCATTTTTTATATGTACATGTATATCAGTAAATGTATAAAAAAAAATATTAAAAAGTGTAAACAAAACACAGTAGATTTACAGTCTACAGTGCATTTTGTTTTAAAGTTTAGTTGCCTAATTCTGTATAAATTCTCACTCTTACGTGTGAATCTGTGTGAACATAGGGATTAATGTTCAATCAAACATTACAATAGGGCTAGTTAACACAAATACACTCGGTCATTCTCACCAAAGCCAGGAAATTTTTACCCGAGACAAGGTGACGCCTGAATGTTTCATACAAAAAAAGGAAATTTTGGTAGAATTTAGAGGGATGAAGTAGAGAAAAAAGCGGGCCAAACAAAACATTTGGATTATTCAATGAATTCGATTCAAACATGTTACAACAGAATAATTGGTATGCTCATAGACCAAATTAATATGTTGATGATTAAAATTTAGTTAAACAATAATTTACTTTGATGTACAGGGACATTCCGGTTGACTTCAAGTACATAGCTGATCCATCTATGCACTCAATGCCAGCAGTTACTCTGTCTCCGAATGGTATGTATATTGTGTCCCCGAACAGTAGGTATACTGTGTCCCCTAACAGTAGGTGTACGGTGTCCCTGAACGGTAGGTATACTGTGTCCTCTAACAGTAGATGTACTGTGTCCCCTAACAGTAGGTGTACGGTGTCCCTGAACAGTAGATGTACTGTGTCCCCTAACAGTAGGTGTACGGTGTCCCTGAACGGTTGATGTACTGTGTCCCCTAACAGTATGTGTACGGTGTCCCTGAACGGTAGGTATACTGTGTCCCCTAACAGTAGGTGTACGGTGTCCCTGAACGGTAGGTATACTGTGTCCTCTAACAGTAGATGTACTGTGTCCCCTAACAGTAGGTGTACGGTGTCCCTGAACAGTAGATGTACTGTGTCCCCTAACAGTAGGTGTACGGTGTCCCTGAACGGTTGATGTACTGTGTCCCCTAACAGTATGTGTACGGTGTCCCTGAACGGTAGGTATACTGTGTCCTCTAACAGTAGGTGTACGGTGTCCCTGAACAGTAGGTATACTGTGTACCCGAACAGTAGATGTACTGTGCCCCCTAACAGTAGGTGTACGGTGTCCCTGAACGGTTGGTGTACTGTGTCCCCTAACAGTAGGTGTACTGTGTCCCCTAACAGTAGATGTACTATGTCCCCTAACAGTAGGTGTACGGTGTCCCTGAACGGTAGGTATACTGTGTACCCGAACAGTAGATGTACTGTGTCCCCTAACAGTAGGTGTACGGTGTCCCTGAACGGTTGGTGTACTGTGTCCCCTAACAGTAGGTGTACTGTGTCCCCAAACGGTAGGTGTACTGTGTCCCGTAACGATAGGTGTATTGTCACTAAGCTTACAATGTTATAGATACTGCAACTGTTAAATAATTTTTCTGTGTTTTATTTCTGTCGATTTGCTGGGTTTTCTACACATTTACTTATCCAACAATTAACAAAGTGTTGAAGGTATGAGCCTGCGTCCATCTTAGATTTTGACAGAAGAGCTTGTTATAACTTTTTCTTGAGACGTACTGGATGAATCTTTCCCCAGTCTCATAAATGCATTCCTCTTGGTGTCCATAATTGTGCTCTTTTGATTTAAGAACTGATTAAAAAACGAAAATGGCTTACAGGCGACCATCTTGGATCTGGCTTCAAAGATGTTATAGTTGTTGCAAATTTTTTCTCATTCTAATTTCATTTTCTAATTATTTTTTTTAATTTCATATAATTAAGATCAAAGAGGCAAAAATGTTTCATATAATTGAGAGCAAAAACAGAGGAAAGAACAGAAAAGAAGGGAAAAGTTCTGACTTTTAAAGAACAAATTAAGATCCAACAATGGTGGCATCTTTTACTAGTAAAACGGGATTTTGTCCGGACTATTTGTGTACAAAATCAAGCACCCATGAAAGATTTATTTTGCAAAAAACCATGAAATTTGAACCCCACAGAAATATGTTTTTAGCAGTTCCTTCACTAGTTATCAAGACATGGTTCGTAGTTAGTCCCAAACAAGAATTGAATAGGAGCCACTTTCAAGATGGCCACCATCTTAAAAATCTTGTAACTGCTGTTTATCTTGAGAGTTATATCAAGACACGACATCTGCAGATGAGTTTTGTTTGGTCAGATAATTTTAATTGATATTCATACTCTTGCGATAAGACCACCATGATAGCTGTCATCGAAAATCTATTTGCTTCTCCAGAATGGAAGATGGTATCAAGACAGGAATTTGAAATTAAAAACCATTTGGGAGGTCTTGAGCAAACAAACAAATAATAGGTGTGTAATAATGGAAAAATATGCCAGAAGATCACCAGCTCTGTCAGGAAATCTAGTGATCATTGTAGAAATCTCAAGTAGTGATGTCTGACTCTGATTCTTATCTAAAATGATTGATGCATATTCCAGACAAAGGGAGAAATTTAGCTTTACTTTAAATAAAATGATTTGAATCAGCTCTGTAGAAATGATCACTGACTTTGTTACAGGGAAATGGCTGGCCTGCCAGTCTATGGACAACAAAGTCTCCATATTCAATGTACTCAACAGATTCAAATACATGAGGAAAAAAACGTTTACTGGACACATGGTAAGTAACCTGACGTCTCTCCGGGGTCAATAGTTGGGACTTGACATTGTTAACCTGACATCACTCGGGGGTCAATAGTTGGGACTTGACATTGGTAACCTGATGTCTCTAGGGGGTCAATAGTTGGGACTTGACATTGGTAACCTGATGTCTCTAGGGGGTCAATAGTTGGGACTTGACATTGGTAACTTGATGTCTCTAGGGGGTCAATAGTTGGGACTTGATATTGGTAACTTGATGTCTCTAGGGGGTCAATAGTTGAGACTTGACATTGGTAACCTGATGTCTCTAGGGGGTCAATAGTTGAGACTTGACATTGGTAACTTGATGTCTCTAGGGGGTCAATAGTTGAGACTTGACATTGGTAACCTGATGTCTCTAGGGGGTCAATAGTTGGGACTTGACATTGTTATCCTCACGTCTCTCTGGGGTCAATAGTTGGGACTTGACATTGGTAACCTGATGTCTCTAGGGGGTCAATAGTTGGGACTTGACATTGGTAACCTGATGTCTCTAGGGGGTCAATAGTTGGGACTTGACATTGGTAACTTGATGTCTCTAGGGGGTCAATAGTTGGGACTTGACATTGTTATCCTCACGTCTCTCTGGGGTCAATAGTTGGGACTTGACATTGGTAACCTGATGTCTCTAGGGGGTCAATAGTTGGGACTTGACATTGGTAACCTGATGTCTCTAGGGGGTCTATAGTTGGGACTTGACATTGGTAACCTGATGTCTCTAGGGGGTCAATAGTTGGGACTTGACATTGGTAACTTGATGTCTCTAGGGGGTCAATAGTTGGGACTTGACATTGGTAACTTGATGTCTCTAGGGGGTCAATAGTTGGGACTTGACATTGGTAACTTGATGTCTCTAGGGGGTCAATAGTTGGGACTTGACATTGGTAACTTGATGTCTCTAGGGGGTCAATAGTTGGGACTTGACATTGGTAACCTGATGTCTCTAGGGGGTCAATAGTTGGGACTTGACATTGGTAACCTGATGTCTCTAGGGGGTCAATAGTTGGGACTTGACATTGGTAACCTGACATCTCTCTGCAGATGATATGTGGGACTCTGCTTAACATGGTGTCTCTCGGGGAATGATAGTTTGATAGTTGGGACTTGACTAAGAACTTTGTTATTAAGTTACATAATGGAGTGTACAACACAAAGTTGGGACCAACATGTAGGGTATCAAGAAGGATTTGTTTAATAAGTTGTTATTTGTAGTGTTGATAAGGAGAAGTAAAAGGAAATGTTAGTTTCTGAATTCACAGTTAGTGCCGTGTATAAGTGAACATAGTCATGTTGAAGACCTTCAGGATAGATTTGTAATGGATTGTTTTTCTGTTTACACTATACAGGTATTAGTAACTGTGTTAAATGAGTTGTCCTTTCTGGTTAATTCTAGGTGATTTTTTCTTGTATCATATTTTCTGTATTGTAAACTTCATTGTGTTACAGGTCGCTGGATATGCATGTAACGTTGACTTTTCACCAGATATGAGGTAAACTTCTATATATAATTATGTGTGTAACGTTGACTTTTCACCACTTCTATCTATAATTATGTGTGTAACGTTGACTTTTCACCACTTCTATATACAATTATGTCTAATTCTCCATGGCGGTAAACTGCTTTGTTGTAAACATTGATAACTTTCCCTTTTTGTTTTTTTTTTCTGTCAAGAATTCAGATACCCAAAATAGGCCCGCTCGGAATCAGTACTGATATGATTTAATTGATTATTTTAGAATTGATGTTTTGGGTCAGTAAACTGATTTGTTGTTTAATTACTAAGTACAATCCTCAGTTGAATGTGTATAAAATTGTCTGAGATGAGTTCACAGTATAATTGTTGTGATACTTACAGTTACATTATCTCTGGGGACGCTGACGGCAAGCTGTATGTGTGGGATTGGAAGACTACCAAACTTTACAGCAAGTTTAAAGCCCATGATGATGTATGTATCAGTGTTCTGTGGCATCCTCATGAAACATCTAAGGTAGCAACAGCTGGCTGGGATGGAATCATTAAGTACTGGGACTGAGCAGGTTCATCATAGGTGGACTCATTCAAAGTTCACAACCTTGACCAAAAAGTTCACCAGGTTAAAATTGATCAAAACTTTATCCTGGACAGACTTGTTCAGAGTTTAACCATAACAAACCTGACTTGTTCAGAGTTCAATGAAGACATACTTAAATGAAGGTTTACCCAGAATATGTGTTCAAAGTTCAACCAGGACAAACTTGTTCAAAATTCACCCAACACAAGTACTTGTGAAGCCATCAAGAGATCAAAGATTTCAGTATAATCCTGCTGAACTTAGTGGACTGATAGAATCTGAGATCATGATCTGTGTCAGACCCCAAGAACATCTGAAAATGTCAGAAGGAACAACATTTGAATAAATTCAGAAATTTGATTCGATCCCTGGGGACTTAGGAGCAAAGCCCCAAAAGGGCAAGTTATATTTTGCTTCAAACCACTACTCCTTCTTAATGCCTGAGTAGATTTCAACCAAATTTGGTGCAAAACATCATTGTGGGTGGAGAATCATTTCTTAAATTCAGAAAGTTGATTCGACCCCGAGGGACCAGGTGGCAATTGGGGCCCCAAATGAGGAAGTTTCACAATAATTTGCATTGAAAATGCTACTCTTCCATAAGGCTTTTTTGTATAGTACAAAACATCATTGTGGGTGGTGAATCATTTCTTATATTCAGAAAGGTGATTCGACCCCTAGAGACTTGGGGGCGGGCTCCAAAAGAGGAAGTTAGACAATATTTTGCTTCAAAATGCTACTCCTTAAGGCCTGTGTAGATTTCAACCCGATTTGGTCTGAAACATTATCAGGGAGTGGCAATGTTATCAAACATACATGAAATGATCCTGAGATTGTCCTGACCAAATCTTATTTTTATATTTTGGTCCAATATGTAACATAACTCATCTAGAACAAATAGTCTGAACTACTTCTCAAGTTTCATTCACGACAAATGAGAAAAATATTTGGAATTTGATTTTTTTAAAGAAAAGAAAGAGATGATTTGTTGTTACTTTTGAGTCAACATGGTAACCATAGTAGCCATTTTGTAACATGATTATTCAACGGTTTTTCATGAACAGAACCTACCATTTATGAGTTTCTGGTACTTCCAAGGAATGTTCAAAATTTGAATTCATCAGATTTGTCCAACAACCATCAGTGAATTCTGTGGTTTTTCCATCCATTGGTTTATTGTCAGATGACCGTTAAGGGCCATGGCCCTCTTGTAATGTCATCTAACCCAAAAGGTCAAAATAACCTGCCATCGTGCATTGTCTGTTGTCGTGAGCCATGTGCTTTCCGCCGTTTGCCATCCGTAAACTTTTCTTTTAAAATGCTACTCCTGTTTAATGCCTTGGTGGATTTCAACCAAATTAGGTCTGAAACATCATTTGGAGTGAGGGATCATTTTTTAATTCTGAAATTTGATTTGACCCCTAGGGACCTGGGGATGGGGCCCAAAAGTGTAGTTAGACAATTTGAATGGACCCTTAGGGACTTGAGGGCAGGGCCCAAAGAAGGGAAATTAGAGGATATTTTACTTCAAAATTCTACTCTTCCTTAATCCTTAATGCTAGAATGGATTTCATTCAAATTTTGCCTGTAATATCAGTAGGGGTTGGCAAATAATTGGTAAATTCAGAAAGTTGATTTGACCCTGAGGAATCTTAGAGCAAGTGGGGCCCGAAATGGGGAAGTTAGTCGATATTTGAGAGTGACATATCATTTCTTAAATTAAGAAAGTTGATTGGACAGCTAGGGATTTAGGGACAGGGCTCCAAAAGGAGAAGTTAGTTAATATTTTGCTTCAAAATGTTATTTCTTCTCATTGCCTGGGTAGATTACCCATTGTAGAAATGATTGGATTTTGCCCAAATTTGGTGTGAAGTGTTCTTAGTTGAAGGGGAATCAGTTCTGTTTTAAAGGTGTATCTTGGCCCCCTAGGGGGAGGGGGTGGGCCTTACTGGGAAAATGTAAGTTCTTAAAAAATCCTTCTTCCATACTTCCATACAAGAATATTGTAGAAGTTTAAACTTAAGTAATTTTTATCAATAGTGAATCAGATTTCTGTTAGACCACAAGGCTGGAAACCAATAGGGAATTTATATGAGAAATTGTTCGTTATATTTGAAATCACTTATTAAATGGCGGAGTAGCTTGTTTAGCCAGGCGAGTGATGCGGCCCCTTGAGCTCTTGTGTATGAGTGACTGTGTGTGTTGTAACTTGGCAGTGACAAATTCGGAGAATAGTGTAAGGTTACCAAGGAAGGGTGTACATTGTGTGTGTATATGTCTGTGTACATGAACAGGATCTGTGTGTATGAAAAGATTTTAATAGTTGTAAGAAGTGCAAGGAACATTATGACAGAGGTCTGGTTTATACAGGAAAATTAAATTTATTTTTTAATTTTACTGAGATTGGATTGTTTTATTTTATGTACTGACAATGTGCACAGGACTATAGAATAGAAGTTCTTATCTCACAACCAGTAGAAGATGTGTGATGTTTCAACATTTATTATATGAGTGTTACCAATCCAGAGAAAAATGTTTCAGAAATAGTACACATAGCCAGTCTGTTTCAGATTAATATGAAGCAAGCTTGCTCATTTCTGTCAGAAGATATACATACAAACAGGCTGTCAGCTCCGCGATACATACACACGGGCTGTCAGCTCCGCGATACATACACACGGGCTGTCAGCTCCGCGATACATACACACGGGCTGTCAGCTCCACGATACATACACATGGGCTGTCAACTCTGTGATACATACACACATATTGTTAGTCTACTCTTTGATACATACAGGTCATCAGACACTGTGAAACTTACAGGTTGTCACCTCACTTTGTCATACATAGACAGGACGTTGGCTGACTTTGTGATACGTAGACAGGACGTCACCTCACTGTCATACATATACAAATGGTCAGCTCACTGTGATATGTAGACAGGTCGTCAGCTCACTTTGTGATACATAGACATGACATCAGCTCACTCTGTGATACGTAGACAGGTTGTCAGCTCAATCTGTGATAGAAGTATATACCTCAGCTGGTTAACAGTTCTATATTCCAGTTTGTGTGAAAAAAATTACCAACACTTAAGAAACAATAGATAATTTTTTTATTGCAGCTTGAAGATTTGCACATTTAAAGAATCATAAAAATTATAGTACATACATATAAAACAATCTAAGAGTTAGAATCACAGACCAACCAGGTCACAAAGTTGTTACCACTAAATCAGGGATTCATCTGATAATTCTGTAGAAAACAATCACAGACCATCCAACAGTATATTTTATTATCTTTAGTTATAAGTTTTATGTAAGCCTCTTTTATTTTTTTTAAATGCTCCTCCATGATATTTTAGTTTGTGTAGCAACTATGTGTAACAAAGCTTAAATACATACTGAAGCCTGCAATGCCCCAACCACGCCCCCATCACCAGTCAAGATGATCAGAAGGACGCATTGAAGCCAACCACGCCCCCATCACCAGTCAAGATGATCAGAAGGACACATTGAAGCCAACCATGCCCCCATCACCAGTCAAGATGATCAGAAGGACGCATTGAAGCCAACCACGCCCCCATCACCAGTCAAGATGATCAGAAGGACGCATTGAAGCCAACCACGTCCCCATCACCAGTCAAGATGATCAGAAGGACACATTGAAGCCAACCACGCCCCCATCACCAGTAACTATATAGTCACAGTGATCTGAAGGATACATTGAAGCTAGCCATGCCCCATCACCAGTAACTATATAGTCACAGTGATCTGAAGGACACATTGAAGCCAACCACGCCCCCATCACCAGTAACTATTAGTCACAGTGATCTGAAGGACACATTGAAGCCAACCAAACCCCTTTAACAGTAACTATATAGTCACAGTGATCTGAAGGACACATTGAAGCCAACCACAACCCCATCACCAGTAACTATTAGTCACAGTGATCTGAAGGACACATTGAAGCCAACCAAACCCCTTTAACAGTAACTATATAGTCACAGTGATCTGAAGGACACATTGAAGCCAACCACAACCCCATCACCAGTAACTATTAGTCACAGTGATCTGAAGGACACATTGAAGCCAACCAAACCCCTTTAACAGTAACTATATAGTCACAGTGATCTGAAGGACACATTGAAGCTAGCCAAGCCCCATTACCAGTAACTATATAGTCACAGTGATCTGAAGAACACATTGAAGCTAGCCATGCCCCATCACCAGTAACTATATAGTCACAGTGATCTGAAGGACACATCACCAGTAACTATTAGTCACAGTGATCTGAAGGGCACATTGAAGCCAGCCACGCCCCATCATCAGTAACTATATAGTCACAGTGATCTGAAGGACACATTGAAGCTAGCCACGCCCCATCACCAGTAACTATATAGTCACAGTGATCTGAAGAACTCATTGAAGCCAGCCACGCCCCATTATCAGTAGTTGTATTGCCAAACTACACAATGCAAAAGTTGCCATTCAGTGTCAGAACTAGAGTTGTATTTTTGACATTTGCCAGCCAACAGTCCTGATTGATAATTAACACTGGCTTCTGATGGATGTAAATTACCAGAACATCCTGCTGAGTTTAGTTGGTCACATACAGTAAAAATATTATTAACAAGTTTTCTAAAAGGAAATAAAATTCATTATTGTCAACAACTCTAAATATTATATATAAAACATAAGTGATGAACTCAAATTAATCATCCAGATACCTAGTATGTTAAACCACACATTTTGAATTACTTTATTTCATATTACTTGTATTTTGTTATAATGTCTTGGCAAAACAAAGTCTAAAACACTTAAACAGTACAGCATACAATACCATGAACATAACCAGCTAGTGTTACAAACAACCGCAGGAAAATACTGACTGACCACATAAAACTATACAACAATTAGTTGGGTGCCTGTTTGGGCTTAAAATGTAAATGTTTATATAAAATGGCAGGTCACAAAGACCTCTCCTGGAAATCATAATTTCATACATTTGAACTGGATAAAATTTCATTAAAAGCACCCAAATTTGCTTACAGAATATGTCTCAAAGAATAAAACATTAGCCTAAACTGTGTAGATTTAAATCGGTGATAGATATTTTTAAAAGCAGCTATGGGATAAGGTACATATCTGGAAGCGATGCAGTCTCAACCTTCAGCAAGGAATTGTAAAGGGCAGATCATGAAGGTCAGTGAAGGAAAATCTATTTATATCTTGTAGTATTCACATAAAAAGCTCCACATCCAAAGCTCCACTAAGGAACAGCTCATAAAGCAGGTTTAGTCTACAGACTCCAACAAAACAACCTTTTGAAACGTGTACAATAAAATATAACTGGGTTTAGTATCCCTCAGGGGAGTAAAAAAGACTACAATGGTCGTTACTAAGAGGATCTAAAGCAAACCAATATGATGATTAACGCTGTTACCCTGGTGCCCAGGTTAACATTACATGGATACTCATCAAATATGTTTAAAACTCGCATAGTATTTCTATTGTTGGACAGAATATTAAAGATCATAATTTGCATGGCACTAACATCAAAGCGGGACTAACCGCTTCAGAACTGGGCAAATCTGTGGTCACAGCTGCCATATCACAAAGACTACAAGGACTTTTCTACCCAGACAACTCTCAGTCTTGTTTACCTCGCCTTATACATCGCTTATAATTAACTGTAATATACAATCTTTTTCCTGTTTCTAAAGTATAATTCTGGATAATGATATTAAAATGATTTTTCAAATGAAGTTGTCATAAAGTACTGCTAGTCATTCATCATCAAAATTTCATGGAAAACATGTCACCAAAACAACTGGTGTCTGCATTCATTATAAAAATTATTGAATATCAGTTTAAAAACATGAGCTTGTTCGATCAACAAAAATACAGGACAAAACAGCTGGATAATATTTCAAGAGATGAACCTGGATCTTTGACAATCTCTCAAATGAATTTTTGCCAAGACTGTCTACACACCTAACTACAAGTCTCTTTGTTAACATTTCAACAGCTTTTCAATAAACCATTGTATTATCAAAAGCCCTGAGTTTGTAATCTTATATTGTAATACAGACTCTGTTTCTTTTAAAATCATTTTCTTAAAATATCACACGTAACCTTCAATAGTTTATAGCTTATTTCTATAATCAAACAGCAAAATATGGTACTAATTCTAAACCTGTGGAGCTAAGGCACGTGAGTGAAGCTGTCTGTGGCCTTCATAAAATACAACATTCTCTCTAAAAAATAGTTCACTTTGTATTAAACAACAAATGGTAACCATCTTGTCTGGGTTTATAATATCAAAAGGCATCAGTCTTGTTCTTTATAGAACAAATTTTTTTCTTCTTTTCAGGATTTTGAGGTTGTTATTTGAAGCAATATATTCCAAGGTAGATAATGTTATGATGTAAACTTGGGTTACTTTAATATCAAAATAGTGTTTATAAATAGTCTCCTGTATAACAGTGATATGTTACAACTATTTCTAGTCATGATATTTAGAGAATTCAAAAGGAATGTATATATTGACAGAAAACATACTACATACTCTCAGTGTTTACAACAAAATGAGATGGATATGAAAACAATGATATATATGTATATAAAAAAAAATCTTTAAAACATTTTCCCAGTGGAATGTAAGAACACCATAACTACATTGAATGATTTACATATTAGAATGTTCTGTATACTGACAACATGACTTACGTAATAACTAAGTTTGAATGTCTTGATTCTGACCAGTATCATCTGTATCACATCATGAACACAGAAACAACATCAGAATGACTGTAACTTCTATGAATAAGGACACAGAAACAACATCAGAATGACTGTAACTTCTATGAATAAGGACACAGAAACAACATCAGAATGACTGTAACTTCTATGAATAAGGGACTACTTACTTATAACACATGAGCAATACGCCCAAGTATGGACCACTTTATAACATTGAAATCCCGCTAAACACAACAGATACACAGTGAATATTATATAATAACAGAGTTAAAACAATTTTAACATAGAATTAAAACCACCTGTAGATCAGTACCAATACTGATACCACACCTATCGCACAGATTTTTAAACTAGCAACTCATAATAGTCCTTTCAGCTACCATGGAAACAAGGTTTTAACTAGTGGTAAATATGCATGCCATGGCTGTGTTAAAAATACAGGTAGTCATAATGGGAACAGAAGTAATGGATAGCTGTGAATACCACAACAGTTAGTAACCATGGGAACAGAACTCAAAGCCATTCCTAGATACCACTATGGTAGTAACCATGGGAACAGAACTCAAAGCCATTCCTAGATACCACTATGGTAATAACAATAGGAACAGAACTCAAAGCCATTCCTAGATACCACTATGGTAGTAACCATGGGAACAGAACTCAAAGCCATTCCTAGATACCACTATGGTAATAACAATAGGAACAGAACTCAAAGCCATTCCTAGATACCACTATGGTAGTAACCACGGGAACAGAACTCAAAGCCATTCCTAGATACCACTATGGTAATAACAATAGGAACAGAACTCAAAGCCATTCCTAGATACCACTATGGTAGTAACCATGGGAACAGAACTCAAAGCCATTCCTAGATACCACTATGGTAATAACAATAGGAACAGAACTCAAAGCCATTCCTAGATACCACTATGGTAGTAACCATGGGAACAGAACTCAAAGCCATTCCTAGATACCACTATGGTAATAACAATAGGAACAGAACTCAAAGCCATTCCTAGATACCACTATGGTAGTAACCACGGGAACAGAACTCAAAGCCATTCCTAGATACCACTATGGTAGTAACCATGGGAACAGAACTCAAAGCCATTCCTAGATACCACTATGGTAGTAACCATAGGAACAGAACTCAAAGCCATTCCTAGATACCACTATGGTAATAACAATAGGAACAGAACTCAAAGCCATTCCTAGATACCACTATGGTAGTAACCATAGGAACAGAACTCAAAGCCATTCCTAGATACCACTATGGTAGTAACCATGGGAACAGAACTCAAAGCCATTCCTAGATACCACTATGGTAGTAACCATAGGAACAGAACTCAAAGCCATTCCTAGATACCACTATGGTAGTAACCATGGGAACAGAACTCAAAGCCATTCCTAGATACCACTATGGTAGTAACCATGGGAACAGAACTCAAAGCCATTCCTAGATACCACTATGGTAGTAACCACAAAAACACATGTCAAAACTAGCTGTGAATGCGACTACTGGTAGTAACTATGGAAACAGAAGTCAAAGCGAACTGTGGATGCCACTACTAGAAGAAACCATGGGAACAGAAGTCAAAATTAACTTAAATTTATGTCCAGACTGACTTTGATGATTAGATGAAATTGTATCTGAAGTAGAAAGCTCTGATAAGATTTCTTGATGATGGACAGTGTATTTACACATTTTTTTGTGAAGCATCAAGTTTCATCATTATAAAACTAGATTGACATACTGAATGGATAAATTCTAATTGGTTTTATCATAAAAGTGTTAAGCATTTAAATACCACCTCCATACAAGCAAGAAATTGTCAAGTCAACAAGAACATGAATTAAATACTACAAAAATGGGTGATGAATTAGCCAACTACAAAAATGGGTGATGAATTAGCCAACTACAAAAATGGGTGATGAATTAGCAAACTACAAAAATGGGTGATGAATTAGCAAACTACAAAAATGGGTGATGAATTAGCCAACTACGAAAACACATGTATAACCCAGGTATAAACCAGGTATAACCCAGGTATAACACAGGTATATAACATGTATATCCCAGGTTTAACCCAGGTATAACAGGTATAACCCAGGTATAACAGGTATAAACCAGGTATAACCCAGGTATAACATAGGTATATAACATGTATAACCCAGGTATAACACAGGTATAACACAGGTATAAACCAGGTATAACCCAGGTATAACACAGGTATATAACATGTATATCCCAGGTATAACCCAGGTATAACAGGTATAAACCAGGTATAACACAGGTATATAACATGTATATCCCAGGTATAACCCAGGTATAACAGGTATAAACCAGGTATAACCCAGGTATAACACAGGTATATAACATGTATAACCCAGGTATAACAGGTATAAACCAGGTATAACCCAGGTATAACACAGGTATATAACATGTTTAACCCAGGTATAACACAGGTATAAACCAGGTATAACACAGGTATAACACAGGTACAGAACATGTATAACCCAGGTATAACCCAGGTATAACACAGGTATAAACCAGGTATAACACAGGTATATAACATGTATAACACAGAAATAACACAGTATACACTCCAGTTTCACACTTTACTATCACTTTATCATAACAAAGTGTTAAGGAATATGAACGGCTTGAGATGTAGCTACAATTTTCTTCACTATTTCTTGAAACAAAATGAAGAAAACAGTTGTTACATTTCAGGATGTGGATAATCCAGCAGAGTGCGCAGACAAGTGTCACTGTACTGGAACCTTTCAAACACAACAGTTTTCATATTTACCTTCAGTGTTCAATGTTTAATTAGATATATAATTATGCATACTTTTTACGTCATCACCTGACCTTGTAACAAACCGTTTAAATAACCATGAAAAAGGATCCGCATAGGATATGTATTGTTAACTTATAATATTTAGGACGTTACAGATAAAATATGGAATATTTCAGAATTGAATTAGAATATTTAAGAATATTTATTCTGAATACAATAAGTCCCCATGTAGCCAATATACACCATGAGATTCAAAAGTAGAATACTTTACATTCTGTTTATAAAGGACACAATCAGTATGAAAAAATCACTTTAAGCCACAGAAAAGTTTTCAGTTGTGTAAAGATAACCATAATATCACACAACAACACTGAAAACCTGTGTAATTCTAATCCATAGGTTAGTTTCACTCATTGCTATACATGCCAATTTCAGTTTAGCAAGCTTACTTCTTTTAAACAAAATCCATAGAAGATAAATTTACATCAGACCATCAATCAGCATGAGAGATGCTGAAAAAGCTCTTTGGCGACCCAACTATAGTTTATCATAATTAGGGACCACACACTCTATACACACAGAAGTCATCATCATTTACACACATGGATCTCCATATATATATATATACACTTTGGCAGGACAGATCAACATAAAACAACAATTTCTCTGACACTCCAGTCTACTGGTAGATGATTACAACATCATATAGTTTAACATGTGACATGTCATTTTTAAATACATAAAATAGCTTTCAGAATCTGTATTCACCAAAAATCCTGTTGAGATTTCTCTTCTAGAAGTTAATGGAATGTTTGATATAATCTGATACACAGAGCATGACAATGATATAAACTAGGTATATCAGAGAAATACAACAAAATCTAAATCCATCAGAGAGAAGCAACCTAACCCATGTCACTTAAACTGTAGCGATCAGATCTTTTCTGTTCTCTTTAACCACAGAGATCAGACTTATTGTGACCCTCTGTAACCATAGAGATCAGACCTATTCTGACCCTTTGTAACCATAGAGATCAGACCTATTCTGACCCTTTGTAACCATAGAGATCAGACATATTCTGACCCTTTGTAACCATAGAGATCAGACCTATTCTGACCCTCTGTAACCATAGAGATCAGACCTTTTCTGACCTTTTGTAACCATAGAGATCAGACATATCCTGACCTCTGTAACCATAGAGATCAGACCTATTCTGACCCTTTGTAACCATAGAGATCAGACATATTCTGACCCTTTGTAACCATAGAGATCAGACCTATTCTGACCCTTTGTAACCATAGAGATCAGACATATTCTTGGTCACTATAAAACAATGACGGTAATAACTCAAATTGACATGAGAAAATTGTTTGTTTAAATGCTATCACCCAAAGCTTTAAGTTTATAGTATGTTTGTAACAAGTGTCAGGAACCCCTCCAAGGCTGTCAGTGATGTGACTGATGTTCTCTCTCAGCTCAGGTGGAACTTGAATGTTGAGGTGTATGCGATGGAATTAGCAGGATCACCGTTGTTGAAGTTTTTAGCCCATGCCACACACTTGATGGTGATATAAGTATTTTTAGTGATTTTCAGATCATTGAAGCCCACCATGACCCCTGGCAGTACTGTGTTTCCACCTTTATAAAAGTTGATTGGGAAACCTTCCTTAGGACTGATGTAGATTGGGCCTTCTGTAATATTGTTTGGGCCCTTGTAGGTCATACTGCCGATGTTTGCTTTATCCTCTGGGGTCTGTAACAATCATCCACTATGTTAGATATTCAACTACTTCATCTTTTCTCTAACTACTTCAGGCTAAAGAATGACATGTCAAACAGGTATGTATCCTGTTTTTCAGCATATGATAAAAAAGAAAATATGTCTTTCACAAACCATTTCAGATTTCTTTATGTGCTGAATCAAAATATACAGAAGTATTATCAAGTCCTCTGAACACAATGAAAAGATTACTACAAAATACAAAATAAATCCTTTTACAACTGTACATGAAATCAAGGTACGAAATTGTATTCCTATCTTCAGCCATGGGAAATGTTTACTACTGCCAAGCCCACTAATACTATACCTACAACACTGTATTTTATACTATATCTACTGCCCCTCCCACCTACTACTATAGCTACAACACTGTATTTTATACTATACCTACAACACTGTATTTTATACTATACCTACTGCCCCTCCCACCTCCTACTATACCTACAACACTGTATTTTATACTATAGCTACAACACTGTATTTTATACTATACCTACTGCCCCTCCCACCTACTACTATACCTACAACACTGTATTTTATAATATACCTACTGCCCCTCCCACCTAATTCTATACCTACAACACTGTATTTTATACTATACCTACTGCCCCTCCCACCTAATGCTATACCTACAACACTGTATTTTATACTATACCTACAACACTGTATTTTATACTATACCTACTGCCCCTCCCACCTCCTACTATACCTACAACACTGTATTTTATACTATACCTACTGCCCCTCCCACCTCCTACTATACCTACAACACTGTATTTTATACTATACCTACTGCCCCTCCCACCTAATGCTATACCTACAACACTGTATTTTATACTATACCTACAACACTGTATTTCATACTATAGCTACAACACTGTATTTTATACTATACCTACAACACTGTATTTTATACTACACCTACAACACTGTATTTTATACTATACCTACTGCCCCTCCCACCTCCTACTATACCTACAACACTGTATTTTATACTATACCTACTGCCCCTCCCACCTCCTACTATACCTACAACACTGTATTCTATACTATACCTACAACACTGTATTTTATACTATACCTCTAACACTGTATTTTATACTACACCTACAACACTGTATTTTATACTATACCTACAACACTGTATTTCATACTATACCTACAACACTGTATTTTATACTATACCTACAACACTGTATTTTATACTATACCTACTGCCCATCCCACCTACTACTATACCTACAACACTGTATTTTGTACAATACCTACTGCCCCTCCCACCTCCTACTATACCTACCGCGCCTTCACAAGTGACAGCAACATGGTCAGGACTCCATATGCCATTCTGGAGCTTGGTCTTTGTGATATCAGCATCTTTCTCAAACACTTCTGGTACGATGCCCTTGGGCTTTAAGTATAAAATCAATGTTTCAATATTCATCTCATCTTTTACCACAGAAAATTATCAAATAAATCAATAAATTAGATCAGATGAATTTCAAATTGTAAGGATAAAAGTTTGATCATCTAGAAATGCTATACGGATAAATATTATACAGGTGATTCAGACATAAAATGAAATTTGTCAACACTTTGATTAAGATCTTACCATCTTCAGTGTCAACAGTACACAGGGTCGACCTTGGTCATATCCATACTGCTTTCCATGAGTACACAGACCGCCAAGCTTGTGGATGTCAAACCGACACTTTTTGCCTTCTGGCGCAGTAGCATTTGTGCAGTCAACATAATCATCTCCATGCTGAGGTATTGTACTGTAAGCTGAATGACATAACAATAAAAGAGTGAATTGGAGTTGAAAGAAAGAAGATAACAATAAAGAGAGAAGTGAAGGTGAAAAAGTTTTTTCAATGGAGCTTTCAAGGCATGTTTTTCAATGGACCTTCCATGGAGAGCTTTTCAATGGACCTTCAATGGGGAGATTTTCAATGGACCTTCAATGGGGAGATTTTCAATGGACTTTCCAAGTAGAGATTTTCAATGGACCTCCGAGGAGGGAGATTTTCAATGGACCTTTCAAGGCATGTTTTTCAATGGACCTTCCATGGAGAGCTTTTCAATGGACCTTCAATGGGGAGATTTTCAATGGACTTTCCAAGTAGAGATTTTCAATGGACCTCCGAGGAGGGAGATTTTCAATGGACCTTTCAAGCAGAGATTTTCAATGGACCTCCCTGGAGAGGGATTTTCAATGACTCATAGGACTCAATGGTCATCTGACTACAAAGACCTACATATGAAAGAGCGTAAGAAGGCCTTAATTGCCCTACTACTCTACAGCTTACAAAGTACACATTGTCTGTTCATTAAAACATTTTCTCCAAACATGAAAGCCTATTCCTTAGACATGCTACCACAAATATCATTCAGGCCTATTGCTTCTTGACAAAAAAGAAATTCTGAGATCTCAACTCAAATGAAACATAATGGCTTTAGGTCAACCCGACCCCTCAGGTCACATGACCTAATGATGAGTCTTGCTGCTATCATGTTATGCCTATCCTCTTGGCCTTAACCCCAGACATCTCCTTCACTTTGAATGTACCTTAATACTTAACTGCTGTTCCTATAAATGCCCCATTACTTTCTTCCTTAATGCTTGTTTTTTATTGTGTAAACCAACTTTTTCTTACCTTTCCAAATGATCATCAACCCATCCAATCATTTGACAACCATTTTATATTACCATGTCATCATGTGATATTTTAATCATTGAATGCTTTCATCAATGTTAGCCTACTTCCAGCCTCTACTTACCATGTGTGTAGAAATCTAACGAGTTGAGATATGGTAGGAATGTTTTAGGTTTGGTGGCATCAAAACAGATAGCTGATCCCGAATCTTCAACCATAGGCTGTACAAGCAGACCTGAAAATACAGAGGCATGTTTCAAAAGAAAATTGTAGATTGCTGTAACACTGTTGATAAAAAGTTAACTTACACTCGAATAAATTCCATCATATCTAAGATCATAACATCAGTTATGATAGTTGCTCAGACTGAAAAATGTGCTTTTCCACACAAACTTCAATAAACCTTTCCCTGTTACGCTGTAAATTTTCCAATGTAATAGTTTTATGTACAATAATTAAATTGTGACATCATGTTTAGATAATAAAATCCTGAAAATTACACCAGATGTCACTGTTGTACCATGTTTCACTAGGCTGAGTTGGTTTTGATACGAGGTTGAATTTATGGCAGACCTTAACAAATCCTTCAATTTCATTTAAAGATAAATATTAATTGATAACAGAAAATTCATTGACCGTGTCTATCGTAATTACCCATGACCAGGATTGGAAATCAAAGACACAACAGACTATCAAATCAGATGCCTTCTTGTACAATGAAACCAACAACTTTTGATTACAGTAATTTCCCTATTGTTGATTTTTCATTTCTAAAGAGTAGCATCCCTGTTTCTGCAATCTACTGCATGGTAAATTAGCAGCTGATTTGATATTCAAGGGCTTTTTCCCTGTACTTCTATCATAATGCAATATGTTAACATACAACTCATATTGCTATGTTAAACTCACAACACAGACTTTTGAGAGATGCTACAGGTTGATGAAGACTTTGGGGAAGTTTCAAGGTTAATATAATATTAACTTTATTTATTTTACAACAATTGTGAACCAAGCTTTAAACTTATACCAATCACTTTTGATGGCATGGATGGAAGCATGTAACAGGTGTTACTTTGGGAGAATACCAGCAGGTGACCCCATACTTTTTCCACATCTATGCCGGGAAATGAACACCTAGGTGTAAGGCGAGTGTGTTACCACTGCGACATCTGACATTGTTTCATAATAATTGTCGCCATATGATTCTGATGTATTCTATTTCCGTCTTATATATATAAGTTAATTTTAAAGATGAAAATAAGTAAAAATATGAGGAAGTTAAATGGTTTTGACATGATCTCACTGGGAAATATTATTTCCTGGTGTTATATGACAAGTAAAGTAAAACGCTTCTAATGCTCATTGTGTTGTTGTTGTTGTTAACCTCATTTCAGAATGTAATCAAATTATTCTGATGTTCAATGGACTTTTTCTGATCAGCCTGAGATTGATTAACGATAGTATGATAATTTGGCCTATCCAGTATGTAACATCATTTAGTTAATGTATATTGGCAAGGTTTACGTGGCCATAAGATAAGTGTCTTGTTGACAAAATATTTATTTCTTGCACAAACAAACAGTGAACATTATAATAGCTTTGAAGTGCATCTTTGTTAAACATCATATTAAAAATTAACAAAATATCGTATAGACCCATCTTATTATGCTTCGGTTGAATATGCGTGGGATTATAGGTGTATAAAACCCGAACATTTACGTAAACACTGTAGTGGGAAGGTCGTTGTCTTGAGTACAATTAATGTTAGTCATAGCTTCCAGGTTGGGTTATCCCCCTTCCCCATACTGTTGCCAATATCTTACCGAAGTCCTTAGCGTTGGGGTTTGCGCCACTGCTACATGCTGGGGGTAGTTTTTGCTCCAGATTCTGGTGTGTCACGGCTGCGTGTATCCCAATACTTATTGTGATTACCAGTAAAAGAGCAATCACGCCTGTAATTATCAATAGTGTGGAGAATTTGCGTCGCACCTTGCAACAACCGAAGTTGATCGAGTCATCATGAAACGGTTTTCTAGAAATGACGGAAACAGGGTACACTCCAGTTCCGAAATCTTCCATTTCTCCATCGGAGTGGAGGTAGACATTTTCTGGGTAAGCGACGCGGTCGTATTTGGACTCCATGATTGTAAAGCTGTACTGTGACAGGTGCGAAGGTGGATTTAGCGATTAAGGCGCCATCTGAATTACCACGGGAGATAACCAAATGGTTTACCTGTCGGTGACTCATGACATTGCAATTTATCACATGAGGTATTACATGAGATCTGATTAGTTGGCGCTCATTCTCACCTATATTCTACACCAATGCGATGTACTGAATACTCAGTTAAATTTGAAATCAATATAAAACGTGTACAAATATATGTTGAAACATTTTTTTCTTTTATAAAATCATGAATGAACAGGCAAACACAACAAATCCTATATGGGGAAATAGTTTTTGAAATTCACAAGCAATCCCTAATGGTTCAAACATTCTTTATTCATTAAAAAAACAATCAAAGGGATTAGGCACTAGTTCTGACAACTTACTAAGCCCTTCCCTCATGGGAAATAGTTTTTAAAATTAGAATTACAGAGTTTTCTGAGAATACATTTCAACACATTAATTGATAACCCCCTGTTTGTGGACTACAGATATTGCCTATATTTTGTAGTGAACTCAGTTTCATTGCCTTTATTTGTTTATCATTATTTAAGAAATATCCAGACATAGAGGGATAAAAAGATAAAATTACTGAATCTAATTATAAAATTTCCTCAGTTGTGTATATACATACTAATATCTTTGAAATGGTTACACATAAGTATTCAAAAAAGAAGTTAAGTACCAGGTATTTGGTAAGTCTTATCAAGCAAGAGGTCCATAGGATAGTATTCCTCACCTTGTTTGGTTAAACTGAGAAGAAAGATTGAATCCTGTTTCCCCCATTGGGCCTCTAGGGTGTCTTCCTCAATAGACCCCCATCTGTTTGCCTCCAGGGAATTTTCCCTAGTGGACCCCAACCTCTGTCCCAGGGAGTTTCTCCCATTGGACCCCCACCGCTGCCTCAGGAAGCATACCCCATTGGGCCCCCACCTCTGCCTCAGGAAGCTTACCCCATTGGGCCCCCACCTCTGCCTCCAGGTAGTTTCTCCCATTGGACCCCCACCTCTTCCCAAGGTAGTTTCTCCCATTGGACCCCCACCTCTTCCCCGGGTAGTTTCTCCCATTGGACCCCATCCCTTCCTCTACGCCAACTTTCTTAAAAACACATATGGCAGTTGGTGTTGTTTTTACCATATAAGTCAACAAAATTGGGGTACCTCATGGGGGCTCTGGGGAACAGCTACTGTGGAGTAGTTACCTGTGACTTGATAATATTTAGCCATAAATGGGGATATTTTCAGATTTTGAATTGAGAATTAAATTGAAATGTTAGGAAAAAAGAAAATGTTTTTTTAATGCTACATTATTTAAATTTAAGGAGAAAAAAGAATTATTTGAAATTTATATTGTTCAATAAAAAAAAAGAATAATTTGAAAATTATATTATTTAACAATAGAAAAAAACCATTATTACTTATCACACTGAACACCCCAAGCCAACTGCACTCTGTATAAATACAGCGACTGCATCATACTTTACATTCATAGTGAAACTCTCATATCAAGTAACATGGCAAACGCACAGCTGAATTTGAAGTTCGTAATTAACAAGAAAGGGGGCCAGAATTTAGCCTATAATGGTTTCATCTACAGAATCATACGCAGAAATGGTGAAAAATCTTGTCGAGGATCCCTCTCTGCCCTTAACAACATACCAGTTGCTTTTGGAAGACAGGAACACAACCATCCAGCAGATCATGCAGAAGTTGTAGCACAGCAGATCAGAAACAGCATCACCAAGAGATGTCTTGAAGAAGTCAGACCCATACCAGCAATATACGAAGAAGAACTCCGCAAGCTCCGAGATGAAGAATGGGATGAAGACTGCAAAGCGGTGGTACAGCGGCTGCCTACCTTCAATACAGCCAAGTCGTCACACTACAGAGCCCGCAGAAAGGAAACCCCAGCGCTACCAAAGACTCTTTCTGACATCAGACTGGAAGGGAAGTGGACAGAAACATCAACCGGAGACAGATTTCTTCTTTTTGACGACGGAGACCAGCAGAACCGAATTATAGCCTTCGCCACTACGGAGAACCTACGATATCTCTCAACTGCCGACACATTCTACTGTGATGGAACATTTTACACGTGCCCGAGCTTGTTTCATCAGATCTACAGCATCCATGTGGTTATTGATGGAAGGATGACGCCAGTCGTATTTGCGCTACTACCAGGAAAGAGTCAAAGAATCGACACTCGACTGTTTACCCTACTCAAGGAACACATGACTCAACTGTACCTGCCTTTCGCCCCAACCCATGCATTCGCCGACTTTGAAGTAGCAGTACACAACGCCATTCGCCAGACATTCCCAGGAATCACCATGAAAGGCTGTTTTTTTTTCCATTTCACCCAGAGTGTATGGAAAAAAGCACAGACAACTGGACTGCAAACTCTATACCGGGACAACGAACATGTTAGGACCCTTATCCGCCGTGCAGCTGTTCTACCACTGGTACCCATGGACTGCATAGAAGACGTATGGTTACGGACACTAGAAGATCTAGAAGACGCTGAAGTACCACAGAACACAACACCTTTCACAGACTATGTTACAGAGCAGTGGGTGGAAGGAGACAGACCGTTGTGGAATCACTTCCAAACAGATGGACCACGAACAACAAACAACCTAGAAGCCTGGCACGGGAAACTAAAGAAGAATGTGAAACACGCTCATCCGACTATATTTGCCATCATACAGACATTCAAGGAAATAGACAATGCCGACGTCATCAACAGAATTTAGAGAGAAGCTGGAGGAACCACCCGACCGCGTGCGAAGAAGTACTGCAACATTGACCCCCGCCTTACAACACTCAAAGAAAGATACGGAAACGGAACCATTGACCTGATGACCTACGCTGATTCAGCATCACAGCTACTTCATCTTGGATAAATAGACTCTGTGCTTTATGTGAATATTAATTAGTGCTACATACGTGTTTATGAACATTCTAATAATCAGTGCTGTTAGGTATTTAATTTATGAAAATAGTGCTTGTATATAAAATATTGAAAATTGAAAATCAATTAATAAAATTTAGTTTAGTATGTATATGTTGAATTTAGTGCTACATTATAAAACTAAAAATAAAAAAGTGATTTCTGTGCTTAATTTAAATGATGATATGCTTATTAATGTTTATATTAATTGTAATCTTCATATGGTCTATCATTAATGTCATATTAATAAAATAATTACAATGTATTGAGTTTATATTATGTCTGAATTTCTTATTACTTACCTTAAAAACTGTTACGAGTATTTATCAGATATATTTACCTGAGTTTACCTGTATACCACCCCAAGTACCCCTTCTTGGGGCCCCTCAATTATCTTGAACAATAGAAAAATAATCCCTTTGATGTTCTGCAGAGTTGGCGTAAAGGTAAACAGCCCCTCTTCCCAAGGTAGTTTCTCCCATTGGACCCCCACCTCTTTCCCAGTTAGTTTCTCCCATTGGACCCCCACCTCTTCCCCAGGTAGTTTCTCTGACTGGACCCCCACTTAGATGCCTCCGGGTAGTTTCTTCCATTGGACCCCCACCTCTTTCCCAGGTAGTTTCTCCCATTGGACCCCCACCTCTTCCCCAGGTTTTTTCTCCCATTGGACCACCACCTCTTCCCCAGGTTGTTTCTCCCATTGGACCCCCAACTCTTCCCCAGGTAGTTTCTCCCACTGGACCCCACCTCTTCCTCAGGTTGTTTCTCCCATTGGACCCCCACCTCTTCCCCAGGTAGTTTCTCCCATTGGACCCCCGTCTCTTCCCCAGGTAGTTTCTCCAACTGGACCCCCACCTCTTCCCCAGGTTGCTTCTCCCATTGGACCCCCACCTCTTCCCCAGGTAGTTTCTCCCATTGGACCCCCACCTCTTCCCCAAGTCGTTTCTCCCATTGGACCCCCACCTCTAACCCACAAAGCCTCACCCTTACAATTCTTATCTCTGCCTCCAAGGTGTTTTCCCTATTGAACCCACACCTCTGCCTCATGGTGCACACACTCACCATTTGTACAAAATTGGATCTATAACTGGAGGTCCAAGGGACTGGCATCATTCACTTGGCTAATTAAGCTATTCAGCCATTTAATACAAACAATTTCAAATATTACAAACAATGTCTGATATAATTATATTGGGTTCCGCCTTTGTGGTCAAACAGAGGTCAGATTAACTATGCATGAAAATTCCTTCAGACCAAGCATGGACAATATCCCTGTATGTAAGAACTCTTAAGAACTTATACTTCCCCAATTTATCCCTCTTCCCGCCTTTGGGGCCGGGATGCACTGTTTATACAGAACTTAGTCCCCTTCACCCAAGTGTACTTCAGACCAAATTTGGACAATATCCATTAACTCTCATAGGCAGTGTAAGGTTTTAAAGAACTTGTAAAATTTCCTTAAGGTCCCCTGGGATATGAGAACCAGTCCCTATACAAACTTTGTTTCTCTCCATTAAAGAAAGCTTCTGGCCAAAACTAACTATTCCTAATGAAGAAGAAGGATTTTAAGGAATTTGCTTGATTTCCCCAGTTGGGCTCCATCCCTCCCACCCCAGGCTAGAATATACTGTACACAACTGATTCCACTTACCTAAATCATTTTTCAGACTAAATTTGGGAAATGTCTATTCATTTCTGCAAGAGCAAGATTTTAAAGAATTTACTCTATTTCCCCTCTTGGGCCCTGCCCCTCAGGCCCAGGGGATCAAGACTGAACGTTTATACAAAATAGATTCCCCAACACCCAGCAATGCTCCAGACCAATTTTGGGCAAAATCCATTCATTCCTTATGGAGAAGAAATATTTTTAAGAATTTGCTCTATTACCCCTATTGGGCCTCAACCCTTTGGCCCCAGGAGGCTGAGATCCACCATTTATAATAAATAGATTTGCCTTCACCCAAACATGATTCAGACCTTAATTGGGACAAAATCCAATCATTCCTTGAGGAGGTGTAGGAATTTTAATAATTTGCTCTGTTTCCCGTATTGGGCCCAGCCCCTCATGCTCCATGGTGCCGAGATCCACTATTTTATACTAAATTGATTCCCCCTTCATCCAAAGATGCTTCAGATCGAATTTGTGCAAAATCCAATCATTGGACTTTCATTAAGGGGATGGGACACACAAGTTATACAAAAAAATGTTCCCCTTCCCGAAAGAATGCTTTTGACCAAATTTGGTCAAAATCCCCTCTGTCATTCATGACTAGAAGCATTTTGTAGAAAAAGTCCCTATAGCCTTCTGGCCAGCTGAGCTAAAAATGCTTCAGGAAAAATTTGAATTCGTCAAAATTTCTTTATCTAAATATATTTGTCCAATAAAATCTGCCCTTCATACAAAATTAGGAAAAATTCCTGTCATTCTAACAAACTGCTATATTTACCTATTGGGCACTGCCCACAGACCCCTGTTGTTTCAAATCCATCCTTTATATAGTTTGTACCAAATTGATTTCCTCTTACCAATGGAAATTCTAAACCAATTTAGGTTAAAATTCTTTCGTCCAAAGAGAAAAAGAAGTATTTTAAAGCTTTGCCTATAATTTAATTATTAGCCCCACCACTCCGACCCCTTGGGACTGAAACCCACCATTTCCATTAGTTTCTTTTTCCCCAAAGATGTTTCAGACTAAATTTGGTCAAAATATCAATATCCAGCTGAAATCATCAGGATTCAATGCTTATCCAAAACAGATTACATTGCCTTTTCAGTATATTACAAGTCTTATGTATCACAATCACCCTTCATGGATCTGTAATTTATAGGGTTCTTCCATTTAAGACCAACCATCCAAGCCATTTTCTAGGGTTTTTTTCCTAATCAGTCCCAGAATACAACACTTCCTAAGAAATGACAATAACAAATTTACAAAGTCAAAATAAAAAATGGCTGCCTGTTAGCCATTTCATATTTTCATTTCATCTGTAAAAATACACTCTCAACACATCAATTAGCTTGTCAAATGCTTTTAATGTATGAAATATAGAACTTATTTTCATATACAATAAAAGTGGTATAAATAGGATGTATATTAACATAAAACACTATATAACAATGGAGAAAATCAGAAGAATTTCCAGTAATTATACAGAGGAATGAATAACTAATAAAACAAGTATTCATTTTACTGGCTATTTAGTCTAATGATACTTATTGACCATTTTAACCACTGTTTAGTCTATCAATACTTATTGATCATTTTAACCACTGTTTAGTCTAATTATACTTATTGACCATTTTAACCACTGTTTAGTCTAATGATACTTATTGACCATTTTAACCACTGTTTAGTCTATCAATACTTATTGATCATTTTAACCACTGTTTAGTCTAATGATACTTATTGACCATTTTAACCACTGTTTAGTCTAATGATACTTATTGACCATTTTAACCACTGTTTAGTCTATCAATACTTATTGACCATTTTAACCACTGTTTAGTCTAATGATACTTATTGACCATTTTAACCACTGTTTAGTCTAATGATACTTATTGACCATCTTAACCACTGTTTAGTCTATCAATACTTATTGACCATTTTAACCACTGTTTAGTCTAATGATACTTATTGACCATTTTAACCACCATTTAAACCACTGTTTAGTCTAATGATACTTATTGACCATTTTAACCACTGTTTAGTCTAATGATACTTATTGACCATTTTAACCACTGTTTAGTCTATCAATACTTATTGACCATTTTAACCACTGTTTAGTCTAATGATACTTATTGACCATTTAAACCACTGTTTAGTCTAATGATACTTATTGACCATTTTAACCACTGTTTAGTCTATCAATACTTATTGACCATTTTAACCACTGTTTAGTCTATCAATACTTATTGACCATTTTAACCACTGTTTAGTCTAATGATACTTATTGACCATTTAAACCACTGTTTAGTCTAATGATACTTCTTGATCATTTTAACCACTGTTTAGTCTAATTATACTTATTGACCATTTTAACCACTGTTTAGTCTAATGATACTTATTGACCATTTTAACCACTGTTTAGTCTATTGATACTTATTGACCATTTTAACCACTGTTTAGTCTAATGATACTTATTGATCATTTTAACCACTGTTTAGTCTAATGATACTTATTGACCATTTTAACCACTGTTTAGTCTATCAAAACTTATTGACCATTTTAACCACTGTTTAGTCTATCAATACTTAATGACCATTTTAACCACTGTTTAGTCTATCAATACTTATTGACCATTTTAACCACTGTTTAGTCTATTGATACTTATTGACCATTTTAACCACTGTTTAGTCTATTGATACTTAATGACCATTTTAACCACTGTTTAGTCTATCAATACATATTGACTATTTTAACCACTATTTAGTCTATCAATACTTATTGACCATTTTAACCACTGTTAAGTCTATCAATACTTATTGACTATTTTAACCACTGTTAAGTCTATCAATACTTATTGACCATTTTAACCAGTTTAGTCTACCAAAACTTATTGACCATTTTAACCACTGTTTAGTCTATCAATACTTATTGACTATTTTAACCACTATTTAGTCTATCAATACTTATTGACCATTTGAACCAGTTTAGTCTATCAATACTTATTGACCATTTTAACCACTGTTTAGTCTATCAATACTTATTGACTATTTTAACCACTGTTAAGTCTATCAAAACTTATTGACCATTTTAACCAGTTTAGTCTATCAATACTTATTGACCATTTTAACCACTGTTTAGTCTATCAATACTTATTGACCATTTTAACCACTGTTTAGTCTATCAATACTTATTGACCATTTAAACCACTATTTAGTCTATTGTAACTTATTGACTATTTTAACCAATATTTAGTCTATTGATATCTAAACAAACTCTTTTTCCTTCTGTTGTCATTCTGCAAGCATACCCTGTGTGGAGTTTCACACTGAATTTGAATTTGTCTATATGATCAAAGCAGTCCACTACTTATTTTCTACCATTTTCCAGTTTAACATATCTAAAACAATGAGCACTTTTCCTATTAGTATGACAGATTCCCACACAAATTATTTTATTTTTGAGCATTCCAGCTGGAATATCCCAGTCAAACCATAATTGGATGGTTAGCATTCATAACCAATATGAATGTAATTTGTACATGATTGAGTATATATATTTCAAACCATATTTGGATTGTTAGCATTCATAACCAATATGAATGTCATTTGTACATGATTAAGTAAATACATATAAGTGATACTGTAACATGACGATGTTGTCACTGAACTTGGCCTACAATCACCATTCATATGGAAAATGAACACTCCAACAACAGCAATTCAACACCAAATGTTTTTTTTTTATAAATATGTTAATCTCATAGAATACATGTATTATGATCAAATTTTATCAGTCACCATAGTGTGTACAGCGTACATATTATATAAGCTTGTTCAAGGAACAACCCAGCTATCTTCTACAAAGCTAGTCAGTGGTATCCAACATTAGAATTATGTTCTACAAAGACAGCCAGTAGTATCCAGCATTAGAATTATGTTCTACAAAGACAGCCAGTAGTATCCAACGTTAGAATTATGTTCTACAAAGACAGCCAGTAGTATCCAACGTTAGAATTATGTTCTACAAAGACAGCCAGTAGTATCCAACGTTAGAATTATGTTCTACAAAGACAGCCAGTAGTATCCAACGTTAGAATTATGTTCTACAAAGACAGCCAGTAGTATCCAACTTTAGAATTATGTTCTACAAAGACAGCCAGTAGTATCCAACGTTAGAATTATGTTCTACAAAGACAGCCAGTAGTATCCAACGTTAGAATTATGTTCTACAAAGAAAGCCAGTAGTATCCAACGTTAGAATTATGTTCTACAAAGACAGTCAGTAGTATCCAACGTTAGAATTATTACATTTAGTAGTCCTCCATGGCACATATACAACTGTACAAGTCACATGTGAATACACTGTCAATAGCACTGTTGA